TGACGAAATCGTTTGAAGGCTCCACTCGGTTCTTCATGTCACTGATTGAGAGGGCCTGGGCCTCGAAAAGCAAACGTCGCAAGCAGGAAACCTGGTGGTGGTCGGGTGCCGGTGTGAAGACTGCACGAATCCATTCCTTGACCTCTTCCTCGCTGACGCTGTTGGGCGAGGCTGAAACTGCGAAAGCCAAGGCGCCAAAAGTGCTGTATCCCTGCGCTTCCAGGGTGGCGTGATTTGCAGCAGAGAGTCCCACCTTCAAAGCACGTTCTTTAAAGGCTGCTTCCGAGTCCAATGTCACTCCGGCCATGCTCGCAACCCTCTAGCGCTAAGTGACTTGAGTCAAGCGCCTCACACAAACAGACATTCGTGCGATAACTGCAGGCTGTCACTGAGACCGACGACACACCATGTTTTGCCTAAGCTGCATGCAGGCAAAGGTGCGAGGATGGGCCAAGGCCCAGATCTCCTCTGATCGTCGAAAGCTCGCCTCAAACCGGCTCCCGGTCGCGCGCTCTCCGGCACTGAATGCAGCAATCTGGATCTGCTGCTGCCGCGCCGGCCCTTCCGAATTTCATGTACGCTGCGGTCAAGAAACGACCACAAAAGAAATCCGTGCTTCGAGGGTCCTTCAGGCAGTGAACAACGCCTGACACCCGGTGCACGTAAACAAGTTCCAAGTCCACCGGCTGCTGAAAAGGTGCTCTCGCCACATCGGCTCGGTCTTCCCCCGAGAGTGCTTCCTCGCTCCCTTCGGAAGTCGAGCCACCCTCCTCTCCGCTAGCCTCATCGAGAGGCCCGATTGCGGGAGGGATCGTGTTTGCCTTAGGCTCAGTTGGCCTTCTATGCGAGTTTTCAGCGGCTGCAGCGAGGACTCTATCAACCTCCGGCAAATCCGGATCATAGCGTCCCTCACGAATGTCGATGAACATCGCGAGGATCTTGCCGTAGAGAGCGGTGTATGCCTGCCTAGAGTAGATCAAAGGAGACTTGTCTTTGGGCTTCACGTGATGGCCCACCAACCTCTGGTCACCAGAGGAGAAAGAGACCGTCGGGCACCGGGAGGTCCAAGTAGTAAGTGTCGCCTTCAGCGAGTGGGAGCCGCGCTTCAGGACTTCTTCCTCTTCAAAGCCAGCCCTCAAGAGGAAATCTTGCAACCAAGAGGTAGCCTCCCCCGCTAACATAGGCAGGGAAGTCCATTCTCCGGAAGTTTCCGACCAGCCCGGCAGGGTGAAGGCCCCAAGCTTCAATCCTTGGTTTTGGCGAGCTTCGAGCCAACGGTTTGCCCACGGAAGCTTTACACCCGATCCAATCGCTGCATAGGGCAGCAGCCGGGTTTTGGCCTCCTGAGTCTTCGAAGTCTTCGAGGTGAGGCCTTCCGCAATCACAAAGGTCTCGCCATGGGAGGTTTGCACGGTGATTGACTTCAGCCTTTGCGAATCCGTCCACCTCGCCCCCGAGTGTAGGCAGAATAAGTGCTGCCCCATGATACAAGCGTCTCGGTCGTTCTCCATGTCGATAGCCGTCTCCAGCGCCACGACCATCTTAAGAGTGAGCTCATCCCGTTGATTTAGGGGGGCCTTTGTCAGGTAGAGGTCTGCTGCCAAACCCTTGACCCTTGCACTGATGCAGTCGTCGAGGGCGACGTGCCTCAAGACGGCCACCCCATGCAAGAAGCGAAGAGCTTCCAGGAACTGGGAGGCCGAAGTGGGGCCCCCTTGGCCACTCTGGAAAACCTTCATGTAGTCGAAGAGGTGCTTTTCACCGAAAGAAAGCGGCGAGTGCAGGGAGCCGTTCAGTGCCCACCTAAAGAACTTCAGAAGGGCCGAAGTTCTCTTGCATAGGGTGCTGGTGGCCTTCAAGCGGAAAGCCGCCACGAAAGAGCTTTTGATCTCGTCTTCTTCAGCCGCACGACCGACCAAGCCTGCTAGGCTCATCCCCAGCTGAGTGGCCTCGACGTCGAAGAGGATCATAAACTTCAAGTTCTTTAGCGCGTGTGATCTAGCCTCTTCCTCGGACCTCTGCACAGGCATCCTTTCCAAGTATTTTCGAACCATGGGGTTCAGCTTCAGATTAAGCTCCGTCTCCAATGCCGGCTCGGGGTCCAGTGAGGTAGCAACCTCGGGGATGCCAATCAGCCTCAAAGGTCTCTTAACTTCCCAAGCGTAGCTCAATCTGCCTGGGAGCTCCCAGGCTTGTTTCGGCACTGTCTCGGCAGCCTGCTTCCTTTCAAGCTCCGCCGCAACCCTTTGCACATCCCTGTCGTCCATAGGCGAAGCCAAGAGTTTCGGAGCTTCGGGTCCACGTTCAACAACTGACCACACTGAAGCCTCAGCTTCATCACTGGCAGGCCGGCGCACATCGCCGTACCAAGCTTCCTCGGCTGCGGAACCGAGATCGCTCCAGCCACTCACTCCAAAGCAGGTGCCGTCATCAGCCTCCTGAAGATCAAGTTGGTCCCTCGCGTCACTTCCAGCCCGGGACAGCAAATCGTCAAGATGTTGTTGAAACTCGAGATCGCCTTGTTCGTCCTCCAACCGGACGGGGCTTTCGCAACGAGGCTGTCCTTCTGAAAGATGAGAGTTTTGGTCTGGCTCTGGCTGAATAGGGACTCCTTCAGCCGGGGCTTCCTGCGGAGGTTCCTGGGCCGTAGAACCCCTTAATTCACAGGAATCGGCCGCAAAGGATTCCATGGCAGAAGAAAGCCTGGGTCAACAGCTTGAAACAAAACTTGCATGACGAAGCTCAGCCAAGTTTTCGAAGGCTTGCAACATGTGCAATCAAGGCAACACGCAAGACTGCGGGGCACAGCGCTGAGCTTTCTAGCACGATGTCCTCCTGAGCTCAAAATTGTAGCGGAGTCCTGGAAAAGAGGCGACCTTCAGGAGGCCGCGTGGCACGATCCAGGGTTGGGGGTCCGCCGGAAAGCAAGGGCATCGGCTGAGGCAGGTTAGGGATTAGGGTCAGCGCCGCGAAGGGCCAGCACCGCAGCCTCGAGAACAGCAATGCGCGAAGCCTGCTGCTCGAGCCCCTGAGTCAAACTCTGGATTGCACTGCTGAGTAAGAAGAACGCACTTGTGTAGGAAGGGTCCTCGCCAAGGCGGCGGACCGCACCTTCATCCTCCAGGAGCAAATGCTGCAAGCGGCCCTCAGCAGAAGAGACCCGATAGTGCAAAAGCCTGAACTCAGAAGCTGGAACCTGCTGTTCAAGGGCAGTGGCAGCCTCACGAAGAACCTGAGCAAGAAGAGAGCCCCCTGACGGAGCACGCCGTGGCGGGCTCCTGGATCTGGAACGAGAGCGGTCTCTCTCGTGCGGAAAACTGGGGGCCGGCGCACCTGACTCTGAGAAGGCCTGCGACCACGGAGGCGGGCCAGCAACAGGCTGCTGAATCTCACGAGAAGCACGCAAGCTCTCTTGCAAATTTTCCAAGAATGCCCGTTGGGACTCGGTACAAGCGTCACTCATTGTAGGAACGAGAAAAGCAAGCCCTGAAGGAATCCCAAAAGGAGGCACTCTGCGGTTCGCGCACTTGCTGGAGCTCGGCAAGCTGATGTTCCACCTCGCGAATACGGCGCTCACAGGCTGTCACGTGGGCACTAAGGGTGCGCAGCTGCAAATCGAGTTGATGCACGTGCCGACTAACCAGGCTCACTGTTGATGGAGAGCGACTGCCGGAGCGACCGGAGGAATCAAGATCAACGTTCCACAGCTCCTGTTGGCGCATGCAGCGGGCCTAGGACACACCGGCCAGCACACAGACTTTTCCCCGAGGGTACTAAGACTGCACACCGGCTCCCCCGCTACAAAAATTTTCTCTGTGGCTCCCAAAGCCACTTGAGCTACAAACTTGAGCCAAAATGGCTACGGAGTTTTGTGGAAAGCAACTTCTTCAGAACGTGATCCTAGGCCAAGCAGAAATGCCTTGAAAGACCATGCAACTGCTTTACAAGTACAGGATGAATGAGTTCTGCATCTCAGCCCCCAGCTACAACGTCCCCCCAGGTCCGTGCATAGATTGCCTGCTTCTCCTGCTCCTTTCCCTTGGTCCTCCTTCGCTTGGGCCCCGTGTCGGAAACCATGTCTGCGGGCGGCGCACCGCTCGCTGGGGCTCCTAAAGCGAAGGACGCTAACTTGACCGATAGTTAAGTCAACGGCATATCACATGTGTCATTGCCTAGCCTTAGCGCAGCAGTCCTGCGGGTGTTGCTGTCACGAGGGCGGCTGCAGCTGGGTCTGACGCGTGGCCGTGGACTCCTACTGCCATCGTGGAGGCACTAGCACCAGAGGGACCATGATGATGGGTCACCATGGGCGCAGGCGCAGACATAGGATTCATGGGATGCACCCCGATGCTCGTCATGGGGTTGCTCGCGGGCACCATGGTGGACGCTGTTACCATCCCGACTCCGACTCCAGGATTGTGACTCATGCTGCCGGTGCTCGCAGGCGCCGTGGGGTGTCCTGGGTAGTAGCCGTAAGGTCCGGCAGCACCATGATAGGCGGGAGGATAGCCACCAGGGTTCATGATGGCGCCAACGCAAAGATGTCTCCACAACAAAAGAAGCTTGTGCCAAGTGCGCTCAGGTGGTATGCGCGTAGGTTGCGTGTGTCTGCGATGGCAGGCGCAGTGCCAAAAGTCACAACACACAGCATGCCAAGCTCTCTCATCACTCCCTCCCTCTCTCCCTGTCCGTGTGCCTCTGTGTGTCTGTTGCTAGGTCACTGTTTATTGACGCGAGTGCGCGAGAAAGTCTTCTGCACAGGTCGAGTCTAGGCCATGGGCCGAAAGCAAGACAATGCAACCATCAGCACCAATGCAGCATTCTGCAATGCCATTGCGTTGCCAAGCATACAGCCAGCTCTCTTCGGGTCACGGCTGCCGACAAGTGGAAGACCACAAGCATCAGCGACGCTGGCATGTCCCGGAAAGGTCATGGCACAAAGCCTTGGCTAATGCAAGGCATGGAAGAACCTGTGTTCACGCAAGATCCCCAGAACCTATTCAGCCGTGCAACCGTTCAGAGCTTGTCAGCCAACGCTGTGCCGCCGGCAGCCAATATTTGCCCGTGCCACAGTTCGTTCTGAAGGTTGGAATCCTATGGTTGACGGCTGACCACGAAGCCGTCCAGGAGGGATCATCTCCTAAGAAGTAGACGAGGTTCTCATTCTTTCGGGGATCTTCCCGAAATCTCTCCATGTACATCTCATCTAGCTTCAGGACCGCTTTCTGTTCTCTGTCATTCAAAAGATAGGCCAAGCTGAACTCGCTGGAACGGAAGGTCATCCCCCGCACACCTGGGAGATCACACATCCCACAATTTTCTTTCCTATACAATGATGGGGTAAACTAACTGAACATGGAATCCAGTCACCAACCCTCCTGTTTCTCAACTGTAAGGGAGTGGCGGGCAGTCTCGAAGGCCTCACACTGTATCTCGAACTCATCAGCAAAGACGTAATCTTTGGGCTGCGTGGAGAACACGCTTCGATTTCTCTCCGCCACAAAGTTATACAGCTGCACGGGATCTTTGAGCTGCTCACACTGTTTGGACACCACGATAATGTAGAGCCTGTTCCTCGATGCGCCAGAGTGGCCAACATCATCTGTCTTCACCTGGAGTGGGTAGATGTTGTACAAGTCACCCAAAAGTCCACTCAGGATACCAAGTTTGAAATCCTGCAGTGAGCACGAGCAACGTACATGGACACGAACTGACACAAACTTCAAACGGCTCACGCGATGCACAACTTCAGCTCAGCTAGGCGGCGGGAACGTTTTCCAATATCGCCATGGGTATACCATAAACTCGCAGTCTCCGTGCCCAAACTGCGAATAAAGGACCAGTCCCTCCCTCTTCGAATGCCCGCTTTATATTGATTCTTGAATTGTCCACGCATGGTAATCCGCTGACATCCAAATCTACATGTGGCACTTTACACGTGCCAGCATGTGCCAAGCACTTCCCACACGCCACCAGGGGCGATGCGTACACGGCCTTCGCGTTCTCCTGGAAACCTGTCACAGACTGGCAGCAGCGTGCCACCGCGAACAAGCGCATGCAAGCTAGAGTCTAGAGAAAAACACTGCAACACTTCACACCAGCAATCAAACAAGCCACTCTTGCTCTCGTCCACCACACCATCTGGGCACAAATTCATGACGTCTTCGAACAAGCAAGGCCGTGGAGTGACTTCTTCCAGGACAGTATTGACCCACTCATGGTTATCAATGATCGCCTGGTGGCACTGCTTTTGTCTCTCCTTGCTGTGGAAGGCGCAGCGTGTTTAGTTTTGAAAGCCAGCGACACACATCAACACAAATTCAGAATCATGCTGCGTGTTCGAATCTAAGCCCAGAACCCACGTGGCCTTGCACGTGAAAGCAGCCCGTCGCTTCAACATGCCCGATTGGTTGGCGATGCGGCAAACCGTCGCCAAAGCCATTTCTGCTGTGTACGCACCGGTGCACATGCTGGATGTGGTCAGAGGAGTGGACAAGAAAGACTCCTTGCCGCAGGAACAAGAAAAATCTGAACCCTACAGCTTGCTGGCTGTAAAATGCAGGCGCAAGTCCTGGATATTTGTTGTGCCCACGTGCTGGACTACATATTCCCAGGAATCCTGATGCGCAGGGTGTTCTTGTACTGAAATTTCACAAACACATGAACTCCCACTCCTGGCCTTGAGGCACGTCGCCACATTGATGAGGTTCGCACTGGTGCCCGTGCAGCCCTAACAGTGCTTGCAGTCCGCTAAGCAGTACCTTTTACACAGGCGGCATATGTGGCACGCGGTCCTTGCCACGAACGCGGCGGAAGAAATGGATTGTGGTCAAGTCCGTAGCTGTCTCCACAGAATCTGATAAAGTTTCATAGGAACGCTTCCCATGGTGCAGCATGGCAACTCCGGATAACTCGGGTTCACTCAGGAAGTCCCACTATAACTGTACTCAACTTGAAGCATCTTGTTGTCCATATAGAGTTCTCTGGCTTTCGTTCTATCTACTTGCGTGAAACACGGCCTTGTGACTCATCCTGTCACAGTCTACATCACATCTTGAAGCCCAAGGCACGGCAGCAATGAAGGCTTCTGTGCTGCCCAGTACCACACAACTCCAACCAAACTTTCGCAGCTGTACAGCTCAGCACACGGCCAGTGGAGGCCCAAAGCCACCCAAAGCTTTCCACGGACCTGGCGGCAAGCACGTGTGCACGCTGCCTCCCCCCTAAACGAGACACCAGTTTTCTAAGCTCCCTGCAGAACACCCAGAAAACCTCCGTGGGAACTTTCGCTATGTTGGACCCGTCCATCGTGACCTCGTCTGATGACATGTTGCGAAAAGACATAAAACAAGGACAGCTGCAAGCCTCCGCCACATCTATGACGAGCACTGAGCTGCTTACATGAAAAATGTTTTGGTCCCGAAACTCGATTCGCATGCGTTCTGCATATGCCACCTTGCACAGTGTAAGAATGCGAAAAAACAAACGGTTGAACCGGATACACCACTCTCACTCACTACTTGCTGGAGAGCTTCCATAGCCTTTTGTGCAAAAGAACCAACATCCATCTTTTGGAAACCTTGAGCTCTGCTGATGAAGAACACCTGCGTACAAACAGTGCGGAAATCGCTGCATCTCTTGAGCTGAGTGCACTTGCAAACAAAGGCTTTAACAGCCGCCTCACCAGCCCTCAGCTTCCGAACAGACTCGATGAAGGCACTCAGCGGCACTCGTCTCTGCGGCAGATGCCGCAACTGCGCAGGCGGCAATCCTATCTTGAAACATTCCTGGTCCTCGGAACACGACAAACATGGAACAATGAAGCTGTGAGACAACGATCTGCGCACAGAATTTCATACCAGTCGCGAAACGTGCTGCCAGCTGAGAAAGCAGGCTGGAAGCCACTGACTTTGCCAGGGTTCTGGCTTCATCCGGCTCCTCTTGCCTCGGATCAAAGGAAGTTTCGTGCTTCACGACGTCACTTTCTCCATAAAAAGTTTTTCCTTTCTCCTTTTGTTTTAGTGCCCGTTTTGGGGCGTGACTAAAACACGAAGTTCATTTCTGGAGAGAGGTTTTTCCTCATCAAGTGACATGAGCTTGTGCTGTTTACTTGTCACATGGATGATGAATTTTGCCCCGTGCTGCCTTGACTTCTCAAGTTCCGGAGGTGGGGCAAAATTTTGTTGTTGGGAGCGGGCGCCCCCCCAAAGAGGGGGGTGGATGAGCGACGACGACACGAGCCTTGGCGATTCCATCGCCCGGCCGTCAGAGCTGCGCCGTCTTGAGGAGACGGTGCTTGATCAGTTGTCGCTTCTGCAGATTCGAGTGACTCGTCTCGAAGCAAGCCTGCATCCCTTGAGTGCTGCCAGCTGTAGCGACGACAGCGGGTCTTCTTTGGCTTTTCTTGACTTAGGGGATATCGCATATACTCCCCGTGCATTGGCGCTTGTCTTCAGCTTCATTTGTCCTGCTGACAGAGCTGCTGTTCTGCAAAGTGCATTGTTCGTCTTGGAGCCTGCCCGCACCAGTTTCTATCGCTTGGCTTTGCGGCACCCCAACCTCCTTCGTCATGGTGCCTAAACTGTCCACAGGTGCGTCCGGCGCGGCGTCGCCTGCTGCAGCAGGCCACGAGGACGCCTCCAGCATCAATGGGGCTGATCCTGATCACTCGGTTTCTGTTCAGGGGGAGGAGCCTAGTGATGATGCAGCCAGTGTCAATGCATGGAGCCTGTTGGCTCCCCTGGGCCCGACTACCCCTGCTGCAGTGCCTGAGGAAAGCCACGAGGATCCGTCCTTTTGGCTGTCGGAGCCTTTTAGTCCCATAGCCTACGACCCTGCACATGACCCCGACCTTAGGGACCCTACTTCGGACTTAGGTTCCTTTGACATAGTTCAAAATGGGGAACGTGAGAGGTCTCTTGACCCCGAGGACATTTGGTATGATTCGGTGCGAGATCATTCCTTAGATGCCGCCCTGGCTGAAGGCGATAGAGAGGAGGTCGAAGTCAGCTGTGAAGAGGACCCTCTTCTTCCCGTCGAGCCACCAGCCTTCAAGCGTGTCTGTGAAGATGCCCGGTGGGCCGAGGTGGCCCAGGAGGCTAAGTTCAGGCGAGTGTGTCAAGACTTGCCTAAATTGCCCTGGGAGCAAGGAGCCTGGGCCTGCATCTTTGGAACCGAGAGAAACATGTTAGACGACGCCCTTAGGAGCAGTGTGCAAGCCTCCTACGGTTCAGAGGAGGCTGGTCAGCTGCCGCCTGAGAACTTGCCTTCATCTTCAGCCTTTCTTGAGGGGACCCCGAGCGTAGTTAGGGCTAGGCTAAAGCGGTTTCATCTTGAACGACCGGCTGACGATAGGAGGGAGCACGCCATAAAGAGATTGCGAGTCCTCATCATGTATGATCCGGACACCACCTTTTTGGGAATGGTAGTGGCGAAGGAGGCGGCAAGCCTAGCTGATGATGAGGCTCTTTCATATTCCTTCACCTGTGCCTTTGCAAAGAGTGCCTCAGGCTCTCTCATAAAGAGGGCAGGATCCCTTGACCGTTTTGGCAAGTGGATTCTCTGCAGCAGAGGGGTCTCGCCTCTCAGATGCTCCGAGGTTGATCTTTTTGCTTATTTCTCGCACTTACAGAGCGAAGGAGCGGGAGCCACATCATGTCAGCATTGCGTGGAGGCACTTCGGTTTCTTCATGGCGTTGCAGTGTTTCAAGTGCTTGACCTTGAGGAAGTATTCAGTGCCAGAGTACTGGGTATTGTGAGGATCATGCATGTAACAAAGGCTCCTTTAGCTCAACGGCCCCCGTTGTCGGTGGAGCACTTGTCCCTATTGGAGCAGTTCGTTATCATGAACAAGGATCACCGCGCCTGTGTGGTAGGCCAGTTGGTTTTCTGCGCACATGCTTGTGCCCGATGGGCGGACAGTCAACGGGTGCAGAGCCTGACCTTGGAGAGTGATGATGAAAGTGGAGTGGTCTTGATTGTGGCTGGGGCTCTTGGCTCCAAAACGGCAATCTCTGCTGAAGCACGGACGCGGCTTTTGCCGTACGTCGCCCTGGGAAAAGGGGTGAGCAACGTGCCCTGGGCTAAGGCCTGGATGGAGGCCCGTGAGGCAATGGGGCTGCAGGCCGGAGGTGCTTTCCTCCTCCCAACCTGGAGTGAGCGAAAATATGACTGGGGTGATTTTGAAATGGGGGCTGCGGAGGCCACCAACTACCTCAGGGAGGCGCTCATAGCCATGGGTTGCGATCTGGAAGAAGTCCAGGGTTATGGCAGCCACAGCATGAAATCTACCGTCCTTACCTGGTGCGGTCGCAGCACGATCATTCCTTTCACTGAGCCGGAACAGCGTGCGCTTGGACATCATTTGGATCCGACCAGCAAATCTCCTTTGACTTATAGCAGAGAATATTACCTGAAGCTGTATGCAAAGGTGCTGGCCGTCTTTTCCACCATCCAGCAAGGGCGCTTCAAGCCTGACTTGCCAGGAGCTGCTAGTGTTGCTGCTATGGCTCAGTCTTTTGAAGAGGGCACTGACAGGGGCTCGAGCCGGCTTGACATTCCAACATCCAAGCTGCTCGAAAGAATGGATGAGGCCGGGGAGTCGGACGACTCCGATCATGCGTCGATCGACGTGGAAAGAGAGCTTGAACCGGAGGACGGCCCTGCCGAACGAGAAGTTTTTCGCGGGGTCCCATGGTCTACATGCACCGTCCATTCTGTGTCTGGTATTACACATGTCAAGAGGGATCAAACCACTCTCTTGTGCGGGCGGATCATCAGTGGAAACTATAAGCCCTTCCGTCGAGGTAGCTTGTTAGGAGAAAACCCGTCCTGTTGCATCCAATGCTTCAGGGTCCTCGAGGCCCAAGGGGGGTCCGACATCGATGCGAGCCAAGGCGGCTGAAAAGAAAGGGCTGTTTTGATCTGTGACTGGTGTGTGCTGGCATGGCCTGTAGCGAATGCTGCGTGGGTCGTTGTGCCAGCTGCCGTAAGTCAGATCGTTTGAACAGTCATGTGGATGTCTTTGCCGCAGCCCCTGAGTGAAGGTTTTTCGCATG